GGGACCCCCCGGGACCCCCCGACCCCCCCTCACCGGCCGCCGGTCTCGCCCCTCTCCGGCCCTGGCGGCGGCCGCGGCCCCCGCGCGGTCATGGCCCCTTTAAGGCCGCCCCGCCTCGCGCATGACGTCATTTCAGAAGCGCCAAAAGCCGTCTCGGCTGCGCCGCCATGTTGGGAAGGTCAAACCGCTGTGGATCAGAGTGGCCGGGCGCCATCTCGGGTGTGGCGTTGGGGGGCGTGACGTCACTCAGCGCGACAGCGCGGGCGCGTGGGGCCGTGAGGGTGTCGCCCCGGCGCCATCTTGGGGGTGGCGGGGAAGGAGGGAGGGGACGCCCCAAAATTCAGGAGGGGGACACTCCCAAGGGGGGGACACCCCAAAATTCGGGAGGGGGCGAGACCTTCGTGTCTGTCCCCGTGGGAATCCCGGGGGGATGGGAGGGGACGGCCCTGTCCCGCCGCGGCCACCCCGGGGTGGCACCTGCGGCCGCCTTGTCCCTGAGGGCGGTGACAGCCGCTGTCACCTGTGGCCACCTCGGGGGTGACACCGTGTCCCCCCCCCGGAATTCCCTGTCCCCAAAGGTCACGGCGGGGACACCGCGACGGCGCCGTCCCCGCGGGGGAGGGGGACAGGAAACGAAACCCCCCCCCTTTCCTCTTCACCCCCCAGGGAGGAAATGGGGACGAATCGGGGTTTTTGGGGGATGGGAGGTGACAAAGCGCTGGGCTGGGGACGCGGGAGGGGTCGCCAGGTGTCCCCCCTTGTCCCACACCTGCCCGAGACGCTCAACCCCATTTTCCCAAATTCCCACTGGAAAAATTCCCCCCCCCTCCCTCCCCGCCATCAAAATTTGGGGAAAGACGCGGAAACAGCTGGGAAAAAAAAAAACCAAAAAAAACGACTCGTTTAATACAACGCGGGGAGGATTTTGGGGCAAATCCCGGGGATTTCGGGGGGATCCCGGCGGGTCCGGCCGCACTGGGACGAGCCCCCGGCCCCACGCGCCAGCGCGGGGGGAAAGCCCGGAGCCTGGGGGTCCCCAGAGCCCCCCCGGCTTCATCCCGGCTTTATCCCGGGTTTATCCCGGTTTATCCCGGCGGCGGGAGCCGCCCACGGGCCGGGAGGGGCCCCGGGACTCGCCCGACAGGTCCGGCGGTGGCCCCGGGGCTCGGGCAGGGCGTGGGAAGGGCCCCACGCGTGTCCGGGCACACGGAGCGCCGCGGGGACAGCGGCGGGGACAACGGGGACAATAAACGGGGACACCCCCGGGGGGGCCAGCTGTGCGTCCGTACCGGGGAGCCGCGGGGGAACGACCCCGCTCGTACCGTGGGGTGGCCATGGGGTGGCCTTGGGGTGTCCCCAGGGCCGTGGGGTGGCCTTGGGGTGTCACCAGAGCCTTGGGGTGTCCCCAGGGCCGTGGGGTGGTCTTGGGGTGTCACCAGGGTGGCCATAGGGCGGCCTTGGGGCCACGGGGTGGCCTCGGGGCGTCCACGAGGCCGTGGGGTGTCCACAGGATGTCCACGGGATGTCCGTGCAGCCATGGGGTGGCCTCGGGGCCATGGGGTGGCCTTGGGGTGTCCACAAGGCCGTGGGGTGTCCATAGAGTATCCATAGGGTGGTCTTGAGGCCGTGGGGTGTCCGTGGGACGTCCATGAAGCCATGGAACATCCATGGGGTGGCCTTGGGGCCATGAGGTGGCCTCAGGGTGTCACCAGGGTGGCCTTGGGGTGTCCACAGAGTGCCCTTGGGGTGACCACGAGGCCGTGGGGTATCCACAGGGTGGTCTGGAGGCCGTGGGGTGTCCATGGGATGTCTGTGGGACATCCATGAAGCCACGGGGTGTCCCCACCAGGGCCGTGGGGTGGCCTTGGGGTGTCCCCAGGGCCGTGGGCTGGCCTTGGGGTGTCACCAGAGCCTTGGGGTGTCACCAGGGCCGTGGGGTGGCCTTGGGGTGTCCCCAGGGCCGTGGGCTGGCCTTGGGGTGTCCCCAGGGCCGTGGGCTGGCCTTGGGGTGTCACCAGAGCCTTGGGGTGTCACCAGGGCCGTGGGCTGGCCTTGGGGTGTCACCAGGGTGGCCATAGGGTGGCCTTGGGGCCACGGGGTGGCCTCGGGGCGTCCACGAGGCCGTGGGGTGTCCACAGGATGTCCACGGGATGTCCGTGCAGCCATGGGGTGGCCTCGGGGCCATGGGGTGGCCTTGGGGTGTCCCCAGGGTGGCCTTGGGGTGTCCACGAGGCCGTGGGGTGTCCATGGAGTATCCACAGGGTGGTCTTGAGGCCGTGGGGTGTCCATGGGATGTCCACAGGACGTCCATGGGGTGTCCACGGGGTGTCCACGGGGTGTCCACGCCGTGTCCCCTGACCACCCACCGGACTCCCTTGACCACAAACCCCCCCTTGCCACCCACACGTCACCCCCAGACCCTCAGACGGACGTGGTGCACTCGCGGGTCAGCGGCGCCGTGGGCAGCTCGGCCGCGGCGCCGGCCGGGCCCTTGTCCAGCGAGCTGGACGTGCGCAGCGGGACCCCCGCCCGGCCGGGGGGCTGCGGGCGGCGGCCGCGGCCGCAGCAGCAGAGCACGCGCAGGAACTCGCCGCGCATGTCCTTGCTGCGCAGCATGTAGATCACCGGGTTGGCCGCCGAGTTGAGCGTGGCGAAGGCGAAGAAGTAATTGGCGCTGTAGAGCACCCGGCAGGCGCGCACGGGGCACGAGGCGTCCATCAGGAGGATGATGAAGGCGGGCAGCCAGCAGACGATGAAGGCGCCCAGCACGATGGTGACGGTCTTGAGCAAGGCCAGAGTCTGCGCCGAGGCGATCTCGGCGTGGCTGGAGCGCACGATGCAGTAGATGCGCGTGTAGAGCCCCACGATGGCCATGAGGATGAGCGTGAAGATGGTGGTGACGAAGAGCACGTAGCGCTTGGAGTAGAGCGGCAGCACGGTGGAGCAGTCGCCCAGGTCGCTGATGCAGTTCCAGCCCATGATGGGCAGGCTGCCGATGGCGCCGGCGATCACCCAGCAGGCGCCGATCAGCAGCACCATGCGGCAGTTCTTGTCGCTGCTGTACACCTTCACCTTGGTGATGGCCACGTGCCGCTCGATGGCGATGGCCAGCAGGCTGAACACCGAGGCCGCCAGCGTGGCGAAGGCCGTGCCCTCGCGCACGAACCACTGCACGGGCGTCAGGCTGAAGGTGGTGCTGCCCGACAGCAGCGTGTTCACCATGAAGGCCGTGCCCGCCAGCAGGTCCGAGGCGGCCAGGTTGCCGATGAAGATGTACATGGCCAGGTGCAGGCGCTTGTTGCGGCAGATGGACACCAGCACCAGCAGGTTCTCCAGGACGATGACGCAGCACAGGACGACGATGAGGACGGAGCCCACCCAGCGCGAGGGCGCCGCGCTCTCGCCGTCGCCCTTGGTGAAGTTGTAGTGCTCGCGGATTTTGTCGCGGTTGAAGTATTCCTTGTAGATGCTCCCCATGGTGGTGACGGGGGACGGTGACGACGACGAGGCTCAGCGCCGCCGGGACATGGCTCGGGCCATGGGGTGGCCTTGGGGTGTCCACAAGGCCGTGGGGTGTCCATGGAGTATCCACAGGGTGGTCTTGAGGCCGTGGGGTGTCCGTGGGACGTCCATGAAGCCATGGAACATCCATGGGGTGGCCTTGGGGCCATGAGGTGGCCTCAGGGTGTCACCAGGGTGGCCTTGGGGTGTCCACAGAGTGCCCTTGGGGTGACCACGAGGCCGTGGGGTATCCACAGGGTGGTCTGGAGGCCGTGGGGTGTCCATGGGATGTCTGTGGGACATCCATGAAGCCACGGGGTGTCCCCAGGGTGGCCCTGGGGCCATGGGGTGGCCTTGGGGTGTCCCCAGGGTGGCCTTGGGGTGTCCACGAGGCCGTGGGGTGTCCATGGAGTATCCACAGGGTGGTCTTGAGGCCGTGGGGTGTCCATGGGATGTCCACAGGACGTCCTTGGTGAAGTTGTAGTGCTCGCGGATTTTGTCGCGGTTGAAGTATTCCTTGTAGATGCTCCCCATGGTGGTGACGGGGGACGGTGACGATGACGAGGCTCAGCGCCGCCGGGACATGGCTCCTGGGGACGGCAAGGTCACCCCGTTGTCACCTCTGTGCCACCAAGGAGACCCTGGGGTGACCCGAGCCTCAGCGCCGCCGGGACATGGCTCCTGGGGACGGCAATGTCACCCTGTTGTCACCTCTGTGCCACCAGGGACACCCCGGGGTGTCACCCAGGGCCAGTCGTGCTGACAGCCACCCCCAGCCCTGTCCGTGGCTGGTGACACCCATTGTCACCTTTAGACACCTCAGGTGACACCTGCTGTCACCTGTGTCCTTCCACAGGGGCGTCACCCACGGCCCAGTGGCGGTGAAAGAACGGGGGGCACATCTGGGCGCACATCTGGGGGAAATCGAGGCGGGGGCGGCGCCTGAGGTGACACCGGGTGGCAGGAGGTGACACCGGGCGGCAGGAGGTGACAGACAGCCCGTGGGGAATGGGGCGGGGCACCCTGGGGGGCTGGAGGAGCGAGGCGTGGGGACATCGGGGAATGTCACCGCTGGCTCCCCGTCCCCCCCGTCCCGTGTCCCCTCTCCCCAAATTTCGGGACGGGACCCCCGGTAAGGGCTCCCCCCGCCCCGTTCCTCCCGGTGCGGGACCCCCGAGGGCTCCGCACGGGACCGAGGGCCGGGGCGGATGGCGGGGGAGGGAGCCCCGGCGGCCGCGGCACCGTCCCGGAGCCCCCCCAGGTCCCGGAGCCGTCCCGTCCCGGGACCGGTGTCGGTCCCGTCCCGGAGCCCTCCCGTGCCGGTGCAGTCCCGGAGCCTCCCCGGTCCCGTCCCGGCGTAGTCCCGGAGCCTCCCCGGTCCCGTCCCGGAGTAGTCCCGGAGCCTCCCCGGTCCCGTCCCGGAGCGGTCCCGGTACCAGAGCTCCCCCGGTGCCGTCCCGGTCCCAGAGCTCCCCCGGTGCCGCCGCGGAGCGATCCCGGAGCCGCCGGTGCCGTCCCGCCACCGCCCGGTGCCTCGCGCAGCCGCGCCCGGTGCCGGGACACCGCCCCTGGCTCCCGCCGCCCCGGGACCCCCCAGGACCCCTCCGGGCCCCTCCCCGGACCCTCGTACCGGTGCCGGTAGGAGCCGCCGGTCCCGGTCGGAACCGGCGCGGGGCATCCGCCGCTTCCCCTTCCCCTTCGCCGCCCGCCCCCGGCTCGGGCTGCCCCGGGCGGAGCCAGCAAGGGGGAACGGGCGGGGCCGGGGGCGGCGGGACCCCCGGGAGCGGCCCCGGGAGCGGCCCCGGGATCCTAAACCGGGATCCCAAACCGGGAACGGCCTCGGGATCCTAAACCGGGATCCCAAACCGGGAACGGCCCCGGGGTCTCAAACCGGGAACGGGCCCGGGAACGGCCCCGGGATCCCAAATCGGGAACGGCCCCGAGGTCCCAAAGTGGAATCCTGCCCTGGGATCCTGCCCCAGAAACCGGGATCCCAAACTGGGAACCGCCCTGGGATCGCGCCCCGCGATCCTGGGCTGGGATCCCGCCCCAGGAATCACAGCGGGACCCCAAACCGGGACCCCAAACCGGGACCCCAAACCGGGACCTCAAACGGGGACCCCAAACCGGGACCCCAAACCGGGACCTCAAACTGGGAACTCGCCCCGGGATCCTGAGCTGGGATCCTGGACCGGGAATCGCTCCAGGATTTACCCCGGGAATTGCCCCGGGATCCAGCCCCGGGATCCCAAACCGGGAATTGCCCCGGGATTTACCCCGGGATCCAGCACCGGGATCCAGCCCCGGGACCCGGACTGGGGTCCCACCCCAGGGAATCCCACCGGGATCCATCCCCGGGATCATCCCTGGGGATCCCGCCCGGGATCCATCCCTGGAGCCCCCCAGGATCCCCTCCCGGGACCCCCCAGTCCTGGCGGGGGAGGGGAGGGGACCGCGGGGGGGTCACCGGGGCGCCTGGATCCCGAAATATCCCGGAGCAAATTGGATCAGGGCGGACAAAGCCGAGCTTAGAGCCGGGTTTAGCCGCGGGGGCGGCGCCCACCACGGTCGGGAGGGGCCCCCGAGCCCCCCCCGCGACCCCCCCGAGCCCCCCGCGACCAGACACGCACGTGGGGGGACACGGGGACACGGCGGGACGCCCCCCCGGCCGGCCACTGTCACCGTGAGGATTCTGGGGACCCTCAAAGGTTTGGGGACCCCCCTCCCCCGGAGGTGCCCCCCAAGGACACGACCCCCGCCCCCTGCCAGCTGCCAGCCAGATGTTGGCGTGGCCGAAACAGCCACGGGGACAACGAGGGGGGGGACATCGAGGGGGGACCCCCAGCCGTGGGGGTGGCGCTTGACCCCCCCGGGGACCCCCCAGTGTGTCCCCCCCAGCCTTGGGGACACCCCCGAGCCGCCCCCCACAGCCCGGGACCCCTCCCGATGTCCCCCCGCGCTTGGGGCCAGCCCGGGGGTCCCGATCCGGGGCGGGGGGGGCCAGGCGGAGGAGGGGACCCCC